TCTAGAACTATAATTCTTAAGCCTAGAACAACTCAGAACAAAAAGATCTCGGTTGGAACAAGAAACATGTATAAGTTTACTCTTGGTCCGATAGACTGTTTGTCAAAAAACTTTTTTTTAATTTTTCGGGCTTATAATTAAACTTATTGATTTGTGCTTTTGGAACAATGTTTGGAACAACTAGAACAATCTATTGAGGTATCAGAATGTTCGATTTTCGAAAAGTGAGGTGCCAGCTCAAAAAATCATTTTTTTTGTTTTATTCGAAAACCGTTTCGAATGAAACAATATCACTTTGGAACAATGTGGTACAAAGTCAGAACAACTTTCAAAATTATAAATTTCAAAAAGTGGGGTGCCAACTTTATACACTCAATGTAATTGGTCTAAAGTTAGAGATCTAACAGTAAGGACCAATAATCACTGACCGCTCACTGATCAGCTATGTTTTCTGAACGCAGCCATTCTATCCTTGTACATCTAAGGAGCAATAAAGATAGAAGAACGCCATAAAGTTGGTAGCGTGCTTCCCAAACGCATCCAGGGGTGCGTTCAGATTCCCTACCCGGGTGCACTCTATTACTAGAAACACTATAGTATATGTTACATATACTATAGCACTTCTAGTATTAGAGTGCACCCGGGTAGGGAATCTGAACGTAACCCAGAGTGAAGCGGATTGTGTTCTCTGATTGGTGCCGCCATTAATTGGGCAACTTCCGCAAAAGTGATACTTAGGCCGATATTCATAGTCGAATCTTATTTCAAGACCGTCTTAAGTAGAAATGCCCGATTCTGAATCGATTCGATTCTTTCCCCAAAAATAGGCTTATTCGTATTGTTTGCACTCTTCGCATTTTTCGTATTTAAAACTAGACAAAAGTATATTGGAATGTTTCGAAGAAGCAAAAACGAGACAACCAATTCGATTGTTTCTTCCAAACGTCTGATTAGGCGTCCATCTCTTTTTAAAAGCGAAAAGTATGAAATATGCAAGCAGCACGAGCAACCCTTTTTCCCTAAATTTGTTAGAGAAAGAATCGAATCGATTAACAATCGGGCATCTCTAGTCTTAAGTAATGTCTTAAGATGCGAATACGGCTCTGTGATTGGTTCATGAAATCTTAAGACAGTACTTAAAATAATCTTAAATATAAGATCGGACTATGAATCGGTTGCGCCTGCACACTACGATCAAAATACATTCTTCGGACATCGTCTGTCCTATTCTGGGACAAGCTTCTTTTAAGTCCGTATTAAACTACGGATTAAGATTTAATTAAAAACTACGGATTGAGATTTAATTAAAAACTAGCCAATCAGAGCAAAGTTCACCAAACTTGAGCTCAGTGAATTTTGCTCTGATTGGCTAAATTTCAATTCAATCTCAATCCTAATCTATAGTCTGATACGGGCTTTACAGGCAGCATACAGCGATTAGCAATATAGTAGTATTACATATATGTTTAGATAGCCTGTCAGCAATCTAGTTTAATATAGACATCTGTACATATACTATACACTTCTAGTATTAGAGTGCACCCAGATAGGGAATCTGAACGCACCCATACATTCGACGTAAGACTATTCGATATCCAATAAGATAACCAATAAGAGAATTGGTTTTCTAGAGACAAAAATGTAGCTAGCTAGAAACTCTTATGGCTCCTGCCCACAGGATGCGGCAATACTGCCACACGGCGGAAGTTCGTGCGACAGCCAGTCAATATACTGCTTTCCGTAATAATCTTGTAGCTCTCACGGAAAAACAACATATTGATTGGCTGTTGCGCGAACTTCCGCCGCGCGGCAAGCGTTGTCGCGTCCTGTGAGCAGGAGCCATTAGCATGTTTGACTGGCTCTAGGTTAACCCACTCTGGGTTATTCAGTCTGCGTTTATTGGTCGAATAAGTACTTATAAGCTTTATGATTGACTAGTAAAGACTTATGACGTCATTAATCACAGTGCTCTCACAGCGATTAACCTAGGGCCAGTCGAACACGCTGTTTATTAAGCCAGCGGCATACGATGCTTGTTTTCGTGCTTGATTGCTTGCTGAATGGAAACTCTATTGGTGCATTTCTGAAGATAGATAGAAATGCACCAATCAGAACAGAGTATTTCCATTTAGCAAGCAATCCAGCACTGTGTGCCGCTGGCTTTATGGCTCCTGCACACAGGACGCGGTAACGCTTGTCGCACGACAGCCAATCAATATGTTGTTTTTCCGTAAGAGCTAGAAGGTTATTACGGAATGCAGCATATTAATTGGCTGTCGCGCGAACTTCCGCCGCGCGGTAAGCATTACCGTGTCCTGTGTGCAGGAACCATTACTTGTATCGTCCTACGTGCTGCGTTACAAAACTATATTCGACGGGTATAGAATAGCATTTAATTGACCAATAAGAACAAAGATAACTAGAATTTCTTTATCATAATTGGTTAATTAAATGTACTCTATCCACTGAGTAGAATTTTGGAACGCAGCCGCGGATGTTGACGCAGTATGAATCCTCCATTATTATCTATATATGTACTATTTATAACAATACGTGTGTGTATATATATATATATACATATATAGAATGTGTGTGTGTATATTTATATATATAAATTTGTGATACACAAGTATATCGAAGTGATGCGTGGCGGCGAAAAGTGCCGAAGAGTGCGTGGTTCACACGCGTGCGTGTAAGTGCGGCGCGTTTGTATACAAGTGATAATTGTAAGCGCCTTGTGACATTTCGAGATGTCAGGTTCGACAAGGATCCATGGCAAGTATCTGTCATTATTCCCCTGCGGCGAAGAGACGCCCATTCTCCGCATACGCACGAGGATCGTGTTTCGCAATCGCGCTCGCGCTGTGTGTGTGTAAATATTTGCGTTGAGAGTATCGCGCGCATCCCCGATTGCGTTCCTTTGCAGAAGAAGCAAAAAAAGAGAGAATATATCTGCGTTTCAAACGTCCCCCTCCGTAGTACCAAAACGCAACGCGTGAGGGTTTTCTTGAATTAATTACCGCAACGCGTGCCCGCGAGAACTGTACTTCACCGCACTTCCTGCATATTTATGAGACGGAAATTAGGACTCGATCCTCCCTACGTGTGGATTCCAGATTCGATTCTCGCGCAACCGTAAACTGTCATTTGTGAGGTAGGCGTAAATATGCGCGCCGCATTGCGTGTTTGTGATGAGGCAATTGCAAGATATCCTGTTGACGAAGTAACAGATTGTTGATTGATTATTTCATTTGCATGGAACTGCTATATCCTTAGTATAACGTCA